AAAATATCCACCCTATTCCTCCCTTCCTCCAAAAAACGCCCGCATTATGCAAATATATCCCACTTGCAGGGATGAATCAAAGATGAATGGCTAGAACAGCTGCTGCATACAACCTTGTGCTCCTACAAAAAATAACATTTCTCTTTATAATGGGTGCCAGCTAATATTTCTGACTTATAGAAACAGATCCTGTTCCTTTCCATGTTGAAGAGGTCCTCAGATAAGGAAAGAGATCTCATCAGATGCAGCTTATTTGCTGGACTAAAGAACTCGCGTGGAAAGATGGCAATGATTAAAGCTAAAAAACGTGAAAGGAACAGCAATACCCTTCTTACCATGCTACCTTTTGGCACACGGGGCCATGGGCCCCCAGGAGAGGGACCCGAAAGGGCACAAAGGGAGCCCGGGGGCTGCTTTTTCCTCTCGGCTGCAAGGTGGGAGGCGGGTAAGGCACTTTTCGCCCTGCGTGCCCATGGTGGAAGCAGCCCGGTGCAAGCAGGGAGAGTGCGGGAGCAGGGATTTGTGCAAGGGCTGGGGTATTCTGCTGCAAGCTGGGGCAAGCTGGAGGTGTCGGGAAGCCATGGACCATGAGCCGGGCTGGGACCCCGCAGGCCAGTGTCACCTCTCTGCTCAGCTGGGGACCTGGCGGAGGTCTGCGGGCAGCTGGGGGGATGCATGCGTAAACCTCTTGAGTGAGGCTTTTGAAGCTTTCCAGCGAGGCTGGTGTTCAGTCAGGCCGGATCCAGGCCGGGTTTTCCTCCTTTTTTCTCCTCTAAAATGCAAGCTTGAAGGAGCTTGCTACCTGCCTGACATCCCCGCTAGCTGGAGCCTCCTCCAGCAAGCCCTGCTCACCTGGGACGGCAGGCACGTGCTCGCGATGCTGCCCGACGTGCCCAGTGACGCCCAGCTGAGTGCACACGGCTCGCTGGGCACCAGGGGAACTGCTCAGCACACACGCTGCATTGCCCAGTGTGCTCTCTGCATCCTCCCACTGTGCACACTGCATCCCCCAGTGTGCTCGCTGCATCCTCCCAGTGTGCTCTCTGCACCATCCAGTGTGCTCACTGCATCCTCCCACTGTGCACACTGCATCCCCCAG